TTGATTTCTTAATTTTGGGTTGGAAAAGTGGGGGTCATCTTATACATGGGGGTGTCTTATTAATGGAAAAATACGGTAACCCTCAGTTAAGGATAATCATCGGGACCAGAATTTCCATTGCTAAGCAATGCAGTTGTAAAGCACAATGTCACATGACCGTGTCGTTTAGCGACAGCAATCCCAGCTGCCGTCAATAAGCAAGGATCATGGGTCACTGAATTCCAGGCGGCCCGCAGGCAGGTAAGTGGCTGCTGCCAGGCAGGGGAAGGTATGTCGGTGGCTGGCACAAGCACGGTGGGGCTGGGGGTGGCTGCTGCTGGGTGGGGGAAAGAATGGGAGCAACTTACTGGAGCGACTTGTGACCTTTCCTGCCAGCTTCCCCATTGACTTTGCTTGTGGAAGCTGGCAGAGAAGGTCGCAAATGGCAATCACATGACCGTGCGATGCTGCAACTGTCATAAGTGCAAGCTAGCTGCAAGCGCTTAGATCACGATCACGTGACTGTGGGAGTGCTTGGACAGCAAGAACTTTGAGGACCAGTCATAAGTACCACTTGTTCAGTGCCATAACTTTGAACGGTCATTGAATGAGTGGTCATTAAACAAGGACTATCTGTATACTATGCAATAGGCATACCTCTAGATTAATTCATGTTTGTTTATTCTGCAAAAGTATTAGGCATAGAGACATGAGCACAAAACACTACCAAATAAATTAAACATTAAGCAAGAAGCAGGATCACTGTCTCCTGGGTACAAGCAGTGATGAGCTGATACAGCACTATCAAAGCAATACAGGTCCAAGCTGCAGATGTTGTGAAGAAAAAAGATGAAGCTGGATTGTTAAGTCTCTTAGATATAGCAGCACCCACAATTTATAGGAAACAAAATTTGGATTTAATAGGACATAGAGCCAATTTAGACATAAAAAAGGTTCATGAAATATGCTGTTTGAGATGCTGTTGAGAAAGAAAGAAAGGATTTATATAATGGAATGCTTCTAAGTTGCCATCTCACTACTGTAATATCATTCAACAGCCTTAAACTAAAAAAAAAGAAACAATATATGCCCATTTGCCTTAGAGCATATACCAAACACTTTTATCTTTCATGATATCTCTGAATGATTCTAAAATAGAAATCTGAGAAAATAGGTGTTCAATCAAGCATTAATAGTAACATTCACACATTGAGCAGCTGAATTAAAATATTCCCATGTTCTTTTAAATAATTTTATTTTGGATTCCTTTGCCTCCCAAAGAAGCCTAAATAGGAATGACTATTGTACTTTCTATGACATTCTGTTTCACATTCTTTTCATAGAAAGCATGGCTACAATTTTCAAACTCCAAGGGATTTCAGTTCTTAGATTCCCTTATTAAAAAAGAGTCTGGCTACTTTAGGAATGAAGAAATTTGCCTACATTCAACTTTATGCTGAATCATTTGATTTCAACAACAACAATAACAAAACCCACCATAAACAATACCATATTTCATGCCACAGGTCTAGAAGGGGAACTTACTTAATTCTAAAACTTTCTTAGACATGGAACTTTTATGTATGAAAACAGCAAGAGTGACTGCATTTGAAAAATAATTCCTCCAGGAACAACACCTTAGCAAACCATAACATTTCCTTTTTTTTTTTTCCTGGATTCCCTTCAAGCTTCAAAAAAAAACATTTAGATATTAAAAAATAATGCAGTGTCTATTGATAATCTGGTCTGAACATCAGCATCAAATCTAGTAGTGGGAGCGCAAATATTCAAAACAGCTTCAACAGTTTTGTAGGTTTCCTTTTTGAAGTATAGCTGTATAAAGAAGCACAGGATTTGTTGTCAGAATTTCACTAATAGGATCACTTTGATTTATAGTGTACCCAGAGAGCCATTTGAGAGGGGGAAAAGCAATAAATTCAGAAAGCTGCCCAGACCTCATTTCATCACCATTTATAATTCTGAGCTAGAAGGCATAGAGTTGTCTTTTTTTATCAGGGGTTCATGAATGGAATGGAGTCTACCCTATCAGATAGCAAGAACATAATTGCGCCATTTAAGTAGAAATACTCCTAAAATCCAGAGGGAGCAAGCACATTCAAGTCCCGGGGTTTAAGACTGTGAGAATGCGGAGACCGCCTCTTTTCTTCCATATGTGGAATATCCATCTTGGGAGGCTTGAAATCTGCAGAGTCCTCTGACATCCTGGTGGTCTGTACACGCATCAGTTCCACTGGAGATGGCTTCTGAGCACCCTTATATGTCTGAATGGTAAAGCCCCCTAAGGCAATATATAGTAATACAAAATAGATTATAATAGATCCTTCAATATATACCTTTGCTACTACTAGAACTTCAGCAAAAGATACAAACTGGAAGAGGAAAATGAAAAGCATTATTATTGACAATGTTTGATAGCAGCTCTTCCAAAGTTGGCAGGAATTTTTCCAGTTCTTTGAAGATAAACTATCATAGCACTGTGATACTCCCAGAGAGGCTACTCTACCCTTCTCACCCTGATCTCACAGCCTCAGCATCCCCATTTGCGACATACAAATCCAAAGTAGGTGGTCTTGCAGATATCTAGGTGCCAAGCCATAAATAACATTATAGGTTAAAATCCACACTTTGAAATGTACCCAGAATCCTAGTGTAGCCAATAGGCAGTACATTGCACTAGGGATTCTCATACGCCAGGAGAGGGGCTCTGTACAAACTGCAGCTTCCAAGTAGCCTTCAAAGGCAGCCTCACATGAAGCACACTGTAATAGCTGATTCAAGAGGAGATGAGGATATGGGTGACCACTGCACCAAGGCGTCATGTTCCAAGAAGGGCCACAAGAGCAATCATTATCTGGGGGATTCTGTTCCAAAGGGCAGGTGCTGCAATAAATATACGCTTCCAGGATCCCATCAGATAACACCGCTTAATGGATGGGACCCAGGGCATTCCCATCTAGCAGTAGCTATGAATCTAGGAAAACCCCTGTGACCCCTCAAGTCACAGGCTTACTTCTTCCAAGAATGCCTCTCTATCCAGACTTTTCACTGCAACTGGTAAACTGCCAAATAGTTTCTGGACAAATAACATGTCTGTCTTACATGGATTCAACTTCAGCTTGTTTATTCCTATCCAGACCCCAAGAACATCTGAGCCCTGATTCAGGATTTTCACAGAATTCCAGCCCAGGATGGCTATATACAATTGGGTATCATCAGCATACTGATGAATGGAGCCCCCCAGCATCTTCATGTAAATGTTAAATTATAACAGGAAGAGACAGAAATGAACCAGAGCAACCATTTGGATGAACTACCCCATTATTACTGACTGAATCACTGCAGAACAGTACCCCCAACTCCCAAATCTCACAGAAGGTTCATAAAGATATCATGGTTGATGGTACTAAAGGGTGCCAGGAGGTCTAAAAGGACCAGCAGTGGTGCACTCCCTCACCATCCAAGGTTTCAACACAGGTTATCCACCAGGGCAACCAACCTACATTTAGAGCCTCACCACTCTGCAACCATCCTCAAAAAGGGACTGTTGGGGACCAAGAGGTAGTTGTCAAGTCTGGCAAGGTCCAGAGAAGTCTTCATCAGAAGGAAGCAACACCACCACCTTCAAGATGGAGGATATAACCGTTCCCTCCCGAAGACATTAGGTATCTCCCATATCTAGCCCCTCACCTCCCCCATGCTCCCCAAAAGAACCAAGTAGGACATGGATCCCACAGATAATCCTATCCACTCAGTCATCAAGCTGAAACATATTCCAAGTAACCTTGCAAAATGATACTCCAATAACTTCCTCTGACTTCACCCATGCACAGTCCAAGCCAAAGGAGATTACAGTGATTTTATCAGCCAAGTGTTGCCCCAAGATCTTAAAAGTGGTCCTCAGAAAAATCTTCCTGCATTCCAAACAGGCACAGACCACCCTAAATAGAGCTGCAGGAACACAATCAGGGCAGAGAAGTAAAAAGTGCATTAAGTGCCTTGGTCACCTCCATATTCGAGAGATCAACCAGGTATTCAAAATGATTGTCTACTAGATTGCTAGGAACATCCTGGAGTGCCTCTGGAATCTATCCCAGATCTATCAGGCACCTGAGGCAGATCATTTTAAGTGATACTCCTTCTGGAAGTTCTCAGAAGAAATGAGTATTGTAATCACCAGAGTATGATCTGACCAGACAAAGGACTAGCTCTTACATCCTCCAATTTCAGATCAGATGTCAACATTCGTAAGTAAAAACCAGATCTCACATATGACTGCCTATGTGTATCAGACCTGAGATTACTTGGAACAAACACATGATTGCCATTGTGGCCATGAATTCCATAAAGATCCCCAGCACTAGCAGCCAAGGATACTCTATCCCCAGACCTGTGATAAGCTCCAGAAGGGATCTTGTTGCCCAGCAAGGTGAATGGCACACAAGCAAGATAGCTTGTCCCTATGGCCCAACACTGTAAATAGGCATCAGCAGACTACCAGTTCCAGCATGGGGTTCCTGGTCACTGCTAGACTGTCCTACCAATCAGCACTACCCCACCTCCCCTACCTTGGGATCATGAAATGCAACTCAGTAGATTTTTCAAACAGCAACACTGCTACTCTCCCCCATCATATCTCAGTAATACACTCCTGGAACTCTTACACTCCCTTTCAATAGTTGAGGGTTCCTATTCTATTGTAATTCATTTAGAAGAGCTTATCAAATTGTAATATGGAAAACTTCACCACCAGCCACTAATCAGATATTTTTTACTGAAGAAGTAACCAGAACTTACTATTAGCAAAACAAAAGCTCTACCAATTGAACTACAGCTACAATGAAATATCTGATCATATCTTAATTTATACTTTTTTAATTCTGAACCCCTGTAAAGTGTATTTAATTTATTCTTTTTTATATAAAAATCATGTTTTCTCAAAATAATACTATACCTGACTCAGTGGTAGATCTCTGAAGAGCTCTAGGTCCGAAAATGCTCCATTTTTCAGGTGGTACTTTATCACCATCACCACTGTTGGAATCCATGGAAGCACGATCAGGACCAGTGACAGAAGCATACGTTCCATGACTAAACCAGCCCCTTCAGTGAAAGAACCAGAAACCAAAACAGGGGAACTAGACTTTTGTGCATCAGATTTCCACAAGCATCTCTACCCCACAGATACTCTCACTTCAAGTAAATTTAAAACAGAACATAAATCTAGGGGAACTTTATATGAAGTGTTTCACAAAATACCCATCAACGGTAAGAACACAACATCTGGAGAATCAAACAGATTCCTAATATGAATACTTAAAATATGCAAAGGAATCTAGGTGTTCAAGACATTCAGACAATTTGTGATTTTACTTTCCTTTTAGGAAATTTACCTGTATGAGCGCTTGGGAGAAGAATGAGGAGTGCTGCTTGGTGTGGACTGGGCAGAAGAGGCCTGTTTATCTTCTTTAACCATCTCTCCACTTTGCATCTTCAAATTCTGTTAGAAAGGCAACAGACAAACATTTGGAAACTTTCTGAATTTAACCTAAACCCCACCAATAATCAAAGTTGATTCCACATTTTTTGTCAGCACAGCTTTATGAAAGCATTTGATGATATGTAAAAAAGCTTCATTCAAGATTATAGATTTTTATGGAAATAAGTAGATATATTTCAGAGCATACCATTTTGAAGTCACATCTCTCTATTTCTATCTAGCCAGTTTAGCATGAACTGCGACAGGCAGATAAAAAAAAAAAAATAGCTGCCTCCCAGTAGCAGTAAGTTAAAATGCCCTTCCTCAAAAAGGCTGGATTGTGATACCATGGAAACAGGGGCTTATAGTGTTACTTTCACTGCCAATGCATTGATACTGAATCAAGAATTCACAGCGCTATATTTGCATTAAGAATGTACTAATTCATCAAGAAGAGACCATTTTGTTCCCACTCAGAATATTCCATTTCCCAGATGATCATGCGATTCTGGAGGAGTGGTTTCTAGAAGTAAATTATGCAGGCCAGAAATGGCTTGAAATGCTCCAGGGGTTATCATACATTAGCCACTTCTGGTTCAGAGGATTTACTTCTGGGTACTGACAAACCACCTGCAGAATGGCATAGTCCAGAAAAAAATGAAATGTTGCAGGGTTCTCCAGAATTTTCCAGTCCTGGATTAACAAATTTTGCACATTCCCCATTTACACATACTTTAAACACACATCCAAAAATGTATAACAGAAAAAATAATGAATCACAAATGTGTCAAAGATGCACAGCAATAAACGTCTCTTCCCTCCACACTTGGTTCTGTAAAATAATAACTAACCATCTCCACCAACTAGAGTAATTGACTGACTAAAGCATAGTAGGGCCCAAGCACCTTACATGGAATGACTCAGCCACACGATGATATTTTGTTTCTTCTGCAGTGAGGCCTTTGTGTGGAGTGTATCCGGCATCTCTTAGCCCTGCCTGCTGTTCAAATTGCTGAATGCTCTCCTGGGTTTGTTCTAGAATGGACAACAATACACATTCACACATTTCTCCAAACTGTGCTGCCTACTATAGTTTTCTAAGAGCGATGTCATAAACATCCATAGTCACTAACTAGTAAAGTAGAGTGTGGAATTTCTTTAAACCGTTTATACCATGTATAACAAAGGTTCTAGAACATTCTGAACATGGAAACTTTAGAAAATGGAAATGAGGACTTGATGTAGATCATAACAGCAAGATAATTTAGGACTGTATCAATGGCTCAGAATTCTTTCATTCACATAAATACACACACTTTCCCTCTCCCATTTGTTCTAGAGTCAGATTTTTTAAGCTTTATTCCAGCATGTTCTAATGATTTCTTCCATATAGGTTTCTATGCAAAGAAATAAAACACTGCTAAGTAGCAAGCTACCAAGCACAAGAGCAGTATTAAGTTCTGGGAATGCCAGAACTTAATAATGCTACCCTTCAAGGTTTTTTCTCTTCAGGTCAAAAACACTGCCATTCCTTGTTGCTTTTTTTGGTAAATGAGGTCCCAGTGCCCTTATGCTGAGGCAGATCATTAATAATCTAACTCTGTACTATTTCAACTGACATCAGCTTCCAAGATTTCAGTCTTCAGCAGGAGACAACAGGATATGAACTTTGATCCTTAGATACTGAAACAAAATATTCTACCACTAAGATACAGAGTTTTTAAATATTAAAATACATTTCATCATCATTTTTCCTAAATAAAACATTTTCTACATTAAAGTAAACCTTGCTAGACAATTTTAATTAGATGGGAAAGAAAAGTAACCTTGGATGATACAGATTTGCAGAACTCATCTTCCATGCTGTTGTGTTACTAGACAAATAGAGTTCTCCCTTAAGCAGGAGAGCCAGCTGAGTGACCCTGGGCCAATCATTCTCTCTCAGCCCAACTCACCTCACAGTGTTATTGTTGTGGAGAAAATAGGAGGCAGGAACATTATGTACACTGCCTGGAGTTGCACAAAAATAAAGGCAGTGTATCACTCAATCACATAAATAAAATTCAAGAACATCTGCTCAATAGCAAGATCACACTAAGGGTTTCTAAAGCTATGGCAGACCAAACACAGAAAGGGGTATAAAGCTTTAAATTACATTATATTATAGTCCTAATTCAAGCACTGATTATGAAGTTACACAGCCTATTTTCCAATTATCTGCCCATTAATAGAATGTGCATATTATTGCCAACCTTTTGATTTTTCAACCTAATTCTCTATTACGTCAGTATGTTCTTTATTTCCCACAAAGATGTACCAGCTACCAATACACAAGTGGCAAGAAACTGCCTCCCCCAGCCATTCGTTAGAAGACGTTTGTTGGACAAACCAAGTATGTTAGCCAAACTAATGAATGGTAGATGGTGGTAGATGATCAATACTATCACAAAAGTGCAATACAGTGGTATAACAGTTGGGAAACATTTTTCAGTTTTTCATTGGCTAGTTTGCACTTGAGGTATAACAGGTATCAGAATCAAAGTGGTGGTTGTGACATTTTATTAGAATTTAAAGATCTGTCACCTCCTATTATGGTATGCAATTTTTCCCTCTGCACAAATAGAACTATGTCTTAATTCAGAAGAACATCAGAAATAATTCACAAATAAATGGGAAACAACCTACATTGCAAAATTCTCTGTGCAAATTAACTTGCCTACCAGAGGAATGCAAGAGCTCTTACTTGCAATGAGAGAATTCATGATGATGTGGGTGGCTTTGGCCTTCACTACTGGTATCTTGTTCACCTCAGAGGAAGATGAGGGAATTTTGACAGAGGAATGCATGCTAGTCTCCCCTTCCTCAACCTGTACAGAGGAAGCCAGGTACAGTTTGAGGAGAAAGAGACAAAACTAGGAGAATTCCATATAAAACTCCTGATCTCATGGAGAAAAGTTTTGGAACCCTTGCATTGAACGCAATACTCTTAAGTTGATGTATTTCCACTTTCTTGCCTACAATGTTCTTACCTTGTACTGTATAGCATTTTGAAACCACCAATCTTGTAGCCATTTGATAACAAGAATTCACTAAATAAGCCACTTTAATTTTCACTGGAAAAAGTCTGCTACAGAAATAAATAAAAAGGCTCTTCTCTCAATAATTCTCTCCACTTTTTGTCATTAACTTCCTGCTTAAGGTGACAAGCACAATTTTCAGGCTATTCACTATTTCTGAAAAACAGACCATGTATCAGAATGACAACCACAACTGCTTCCTCCCCTTATTAAAAAACACTCTTTGTTTTATATAAGATACAAAGTTATTTTAGTTATTTAAGGCTAGTACAGTGGTGCCTCTACTTACGAACGCCCCTACTTACGAATTTTTCAAGATACGACCAGCTCCAGCCCCAAAAATTTGCCTCTCCTTCCGAACTCGCCTCGACTTACGAACCGGATCCGCGGCTATTTTCTGCCCGTTCCACGTGGTCCGCGGCCATTTTCCGCCCATTCCACGTGGTCCGCGGCCAT